GTGGGGGGGGGGGAGTTCATGACACACTTTCCTCAGAGACCCAGTAACCAAAACACGCTCATGTGCCCACGTTTTAGGAATGCTTTGCTTTCTGCGACCCCACGGCCTAATCCAGTTACACGTGTACTGTTGTATGTGTGCGCTTGCGAGTTTAATTACGCGCTGGCAACTGTATAAGGTCATATGAGCGCGTTTGCGTGAGAGTGTATGAATGAAGAAACATACTCACACATATCTGGAAAGTCCTCTGAACCAAGGAAATCTTACCTTTGAACCCTACCTACCCTGATATCTCAGCCCCACCCACATTTAGAACCCCCCACCGCCACTGCAGAAGTCACATCGGTTAAAGGCGGGAATAGAAGGAAGGGGGGGGGGGGGGGGGGTTCTGGCGGGACCCTCGGAAGAGCTGAACAGAAGATTAGTAAGTGTAGGAGAATAATGATTCACCATATTATCCCGGATTCCAGTTGCTTTTTATTCAAACTGAATGACGATCTCTAGGAGGAAGGGGGGGGGGGGGGGGGAGAGGAATAATATATTCACATGACATGCTCAAGATACTGGACGCAATGGAATTTGCCCCTGGTGATGTCACAATTTTAGGCTATTTGCCAGCGGAAAGTTTGATCCTGAACTAGGCCTGTGAACTAGACCCCCCGCCCCTTGTTTCCCCCAACCGAATAATTTAAACTATGACCGCGAAGTCAAAGATGCTGCTAGTATGGGATCTTTGCTGCAGTGGAGGTATTATTTAATAAAAATGGTCTCTCGTGACTCTGAGCGTTGCGTGTGTGATTTTTTCCCCTTATTTGAAGCACAATAATACTTATACCAGGCCTGATAATAAATTGTATTCATATACAGCACACATCCATGCTCTACCGCATGCTCTACATCATGAGCTTTACTAATATTACTATTACCCCAGCAGACCCTCTGAAAACTCACAGAAACATTCTCGGCTTCCCGATGCACACATCATGTCTGTAGGCTATATATACATGTAATAATATTAGGCGCGCTATGCATATATATATATATATATATATATATATATATATATATATTGTTTGTTTTGTAAAGT